AAAGGTTCATAATTTTTGCAGCCACAGTGTTTCTGCAGGAGCCAGAAGCCGATGCCATTCTTGGACCAGTCTGTTGCAAGGCAAGTGGGTTTGCTGGGATCGAAGATTCTTACGCCTTCTTCTATCTCACTAGCAATAACAGCTTTGGACTCGTCAAAAGCGCGCTGGAGGGCATCGGTCCATACAAACGGTATGCTTGGCTTCAGGAGCTCGCGAAATGGTAGCATCTTCTTAGTCATACTAAAAGCGTAGGAGACTTGATTAACCAGTCCGAACCATGAGCGGACATCTGTAACGTTGGTGGGCGTTGGGAAGTCAAGGATTGCCTTTAAGTACTTCTCGCATGGGCGGACGCTGTCTGGGGTATTCTGAAAACCAGCAAATTCCACAACATCTGCACCAAACATGAACTTCCTGGGGTTGAGGGTGATCCCGTTGAGGCCGCATATATCTAGCCATTCAACAGCGTAGAAAAAACTGTCTTCTAACGTGTCAGCCCGCAGGAGGACGTTGTCAACACATTTTGTCTTGTTCTGGACACCCGAGACAATCTCGCCATATCGCCTGGTGTATCCATCACCTGAGGCAATGTACCCCTGAGGGGCTGTCTTGTATCGGTACCTGCCCCCATGGAGTGATGAAGGTGGTGAGGTGTCTGTCCTCTGGGTATATGGGTACGCTATGGTATCTGTTCCATGCGTCGAGTACTGTCTTTTTTCCGTGAGGAACGGAACGGGCCTGAATGAAGGGTGATGGCGTGTGGTGTGTCTCGCGGGTAACGTGCACATTGAGGGCATGGAAATCAACCGTCCGACGTGGTTTACCGTCCTTCTTTGCACACACCACCATCCTGTAGCACCAGGTAACAGGCTCCCCGATGGGTACTGGTTCGAGCACACCCAACTGAACATTACTATCTAAACCAGCCTTGACGGCATCTCGCCAGTGGAGTGGGACAGGCACTGGTGTGTGATGTGCGACTGGCTTTGCGTCAGGGTCCACCATCAATTTCATAGGGGGGCTGTCCATTAGTGGCAAGGGCTGATGCTCACACGTATTAAATGTGCTTGATTTGTAGTAGTCAAGTAGATACTGTTGCAGCTTCACACGGTTCGCCTCAGTCGCAGGGAATGGCAGTTTAATAGGGTAAGTGTAACGTTGTTCCATGTGAGGAGTGAAAAGCATTCCATCGGTGAGACAACATTGAAATAGGCCTAGTCATCGTCTAGTTGTTACATAATGTTGTTCTTGACAGTTGCCATTGCCGTTGAACGATAGAGATTTGTTAACATTTGTTACCGCAAATAATAGTATAGTGTCGAATGATATATTATAGGAACATATTATATACCCGACCGTCGTGTACCGATTGATGCAAAATGGCATTGCGACCACGACTGTCGGGTACCGAGTCATGAAAATCGCATTGCGCGCACGACCGTCGGGTACCGAGTGATCGAAATGGTCCAATGCAATGGTGGTATTATACAGCTGCGAAATTCTGCACGATGAAAACGCAATGAAAAAGCATGGCTAACACACTTCTTTCCATTGTGCTCCAACATAACATTGTAGATACTCTAAATTCTAGCAAATATATGCTACACGCATGATCAATATGACAATTTATTCAATGGTGAAATTATGATTCATTTTTTGTGCAAGGAGAAGTCTCTCGCCAATTTTATATGTTTAATTGTTGGATTGAGCAATCATTATTTCATCCTATCTGTAAATGGCTCGCTGAGACGATCGCTCTTAAAATCCATCCGTCTGGTAAATGCGAAAAGTAGCACAGCCTACATACAGCGATCATATACACCAGCGTGCGTTTACAATGATAATTATCTTTAGTCAAGCTCGCGTTTTTCTTCTTCCAAACCAGAGCCGATAGGCAATTTTTGCATGTATTAGATGGTGCCAGCGTGCAGCAAAAACTTCGTCTACCCCTGCGATTAGCATACGTAGACGGACGCACGTACGCACGCCCGTACCTACTTATACAGGCAGCCAAGCACGCAAGCACATATAGCTAGCTGTAGTAGTACGAAGCAGACAAATACGCACACACGTGCGTATACATGTATGAACGCACGCAGTCACACACCGACGCACGTACGTACGCACGCAGGCCGGCACAGACATTTCTATGGGTGCATGTATGTGTTTGTATGTGTGTGTGCGTCGCTGAGTGCGTGCGTCAGTGTCTTTAAAATGTTCATTAGGAAAAAATTTTGAGAAGTCAAAAACATCCGTTCCCTCGACAAAATTATTTGTTAGTCTTGCCACAAGTCATGGCGTAAGATAAGTATGTCATCTAACACGCACAATTCACAGATCATATCAGGAGCTATTCACCTATTGACAATATTTGTGATTATTACGTCGTCATTGTTTGTATATAGGTGAACGTTTATATTTGCATGAATAGAGACGTATTATTTCCGCATGTATTATTATAAAACCCAGCTTAGGCTATGAGCCAAGGGGGTTGGTCGGTACCATACAGATGGAGTAAGGCTCATTGTGATTTTTAGCAAGATATATGTCCCTAGATATGAAAAAAATGTGATAGCAGTGTATAACTCTCGGCCATCTCTGTGTTATCACCCGAAATAGTATTATACCCCCTCTTTGCTTCGCCAAAATATGTGTTATTTGGTAAAATTGGAATAAATATTTTTTTAAGGACCACAGAGTGCCAATCATGTGCATACTGGATGCCAACTAATATAGTAATATAAATATAGAACATTTGTGGG